CAGTCTTTGCACTGCTTAGGGATGCGGTTGGTGTACCTTCTCTACAAAAGTGCACAGTCCCAGGTACACATTGCCCTTTGCTATGAAGGCTAATGGTAAATTGAAGGCAGAATGTTATTTACAGCAAGTTCCTTTGGTGTGGAATATATGTAAGAATACAACAACTGGTTCATGATAGTGAAGAGTTAGTGACAGTGTCACGATTGACCATCCCTAGAGCCACTGCCAGCTTTTATTTGCAGAAAAATATGTATGTGCATGAAAATTATAGAAGAATTAGAATCTTGTTGGTCCTTTTTAATCTTTTTATAACCCACCGAGGGCAAGAAACAGTACTCATGCCAGGGCTGACAGTCAAGGGGTATGTACTGATGCAATTATATATCTCATTCGGTCCATTTGAAGAAGTGTTTTTCCTGGGAGGTCACTCTTGTGGAATCAGCTTATAAGTAATCTGCTCACCCTTCTGTCTCCTAGCGATCCAAGACACTTTGCCCTAGATCCAGTTTAACCTGCCTTGGCCTGAGCAGACAGCAGAGTGAAAGTGCCTAGTAATGGGGAGAAAACATGAACTTTCAGTTCTGTGGGGTCTCAGATTTAACACCAGCATAACGGGGATTGCAACCAAGACTGCCTTATAGAGTTCATGTTTTAGCTTATACATGTGAGTTACGTGAATGGTCCCTATCCAGTCTGCTCACAGTAAACATCAGCTGCTGCTCTTATTACTATAGTCATAATGTTTATACTATTGATGTTTACCCTCTTATTGTCTAGAAATGTTAGAGAGAGCAGACACGGGATATGCCTGTATTGTAAGGTTGTAGCTGCGAGCAGGGATACATCTGAAGGGCCCCCGTTTCAGAGAGGCTAAAGAAAGGACCTGAATCCCCTCCGCTCCATTCTCACTCTCTAGCTCCCCCCCTCGGATGTCTGCAATATGTTTATTCATCTGAATCACCTCAGTAAAACAGCTTTGTAATCGTCAAGGGCACAACCTACAAGGCAGCTTTCAGAACTGCACAAGTAATGAGTTATAGAGATGTTAGTATGAGCGAAAGGTCACTACCTGCCTGAAAGGTTGATGTTGAACAGAAATATACAAGGCTAGCCCAGCAGCCATAGCAAGACTTGGGGAGTCTCCTCCCCTCCCTCCCTCCATTTCTTTATTTTAGTTTACTTCAAACCTGGGTGCTCTGGCCTTTTTCTCCAGCCTGTATTACTGCAATGCCTCCCAGCTGGTTGCTTTCTTCTGCTGTCTCCCACCCTGTCCTTACCCCTGTTACCTTCTATACTCTGCTCCAACTAAATTATCCCTGGGTTACAAATACAAAGTTCATGCATGAATGTCTTTTAAAAGAAAGAACTAGAAACTCTATTTTTCACTATTATATTGACCTATAGATTGTGGATTATATTATATTATATTACTTCTCAAAGCGATAGAGAAAATACTTTTAAACACCTTTTAAATAAAATGGATGGATGTGTAACAATCAAAGGGAAATCTAGTGAGGTTCAGGATAACATGTGATCTTGGTCCTGGCACATGAGCTCACCAGGCACACCTATGCTTCATTGGATTGAAGATGGAGGAGCGGTTGGAGTACTGCAATTAGAACCACATAGCAGGTAGCATCAAAGGACAATGAAATGGCGAATATGAAGGAGCACCTAAGAAACTCTCAGAAGGAAAGTCAAGCAAGGTGACATGTATCTATGTCCCCAGCTCTGGGATGGTAGAGGTAGGTAGATCCCTGAAGGCCACTGGCCAAACACTCTAACCAATCCAAGAGCCCTGGGTTCAGTGAGACGCCTTATCACAAAGACTGAGGTGTTAAAAAAGATAGTCATTACCGACTTGTTTACTTCCATGCATATTGGCATATATGCACGTGCTGGACATATACAGAGTCAGGAGAAATAAACTATGAGAGGAGAAAGAATCCCTTAGAAGGGCTGAGGATGTAGGTCAGTGGCAGTGCGGGGCTTATCAGGCACCAAGACCCTGTGTTCTAAATCTCAGAATTGACAACCAGAAACAAAAGCAAAAAATAGAAGAACTATTAAGTGAGAAGACAAAACGCAGTGTTAGGCATTAGATACTCAAGGTATTAGCAATAGTCAAGGGTAAGATTTAAAGACACGATGGCTAAGGGTTTCTCAAAATGATGCACCAAAGAGTTAAACTAAAAGAAACTCATAATCACACATAATTTTGAGGTTGCTAGTAGGTTTGGCTACAATGGACGACAGTCAAGAAATACTAAAATATTATCTTCTTAAGGAAAATATCGCTTTTACAAACAAAATAGGTAAGCGTTAGACGCTAACATGCCCTTCCTAAGGGGATTACTAAGTCTTCAAGGAGTACTTGAAGATGCCTTAGAAAGATATAATGAGTAAATGAAAAAGCAAATATGGAGATACATCTGAATAGGTAATCATAGATGGCAAAAATAATGTGTATTTCAGTAATATTTTAAGCTAAACTAATAGATACTAATGTTTATAGGTTGGAGGCAGATGCCTGGAATTAGTCATTGCAAGGCTCTCGTATTTGCAGGAAATAATTGAACTACCCTTGGGGGACTTGGAAGTAATGAGAACTAAGAACTGCTGTGTAAGTGTGATCTCGGTATTAAATGCATCTTTTTGTTGTTTTGTAAAACACTCTCTCACCCTAGAAAGCAGGGTGTTTATTCAAATATTTCTATTTACCAACCTCCTGACACCCTACTTTCACTCAAATGTTGGGGTTCCCATGGATTAGTGGTCTTTCCCCACATCCCTCCCATTGTATTTATTACATCGCTATAGCTGACAATTTTCACCCAGCTGTATGTAGCACTTGAACTTCAGAGTCAGTCTCCATGCATCCCACAGCAGTTGCTCTAAGGAGCACTGCTCTCCATTCATAGTGTCCAGCCCATTGTGTTTGACAAGATGAGCCTGGCTACATGCAGTCTCAATAGCACATCTATGGGGATAGTAGAGGGTGGAAATGAGAGAGCCTCCCAGCCTACTCCTGTGCACGGTGGTCCTCCTTTTTCCAATTACTTGGCACCCACAGTCCCCTGAGTAAATGGAGGTGATGATAGCTCCTTACTCTTAGCATTGTGGTGAGAAGCTGTACTGCAACCTGGCTGTAGTCAGGGAACACTTGCTTTAGGATTATTGCAAATTGCTTTATTTAACTCTTAAACAACTTGATTAAAATTGTCCGGACTACATTAATTTTAAGTATAAAAGACTATAGTCATAAACATAAAAGACCAGACTACATCTTACACTTCTATGGAAAATGGGCAAGTAGCAAGTACAGTAAAGGTGATTGACATTGGTCCTCAGGGGTCATGTTTAAGTTGACATTTCCCATGAGATACTCTTCAGAATCTGTTTTTGATAGATGCACTGTGGTGATGTTAAAGAACCTTTACTTGGCTTCACACACATATTTCTACTTTATAGTAGAAAATAGATTTGTAGATCTTTGCATTGAAGTTATCTCAAGATCTCATACACTGTTCTTATAGCCCCAGGGAAAGCTTTTCAACACTAGACCTGTATAAACATCTCATAGTAAACAGGCTTTTCTCTGTTTCTGACCAGTGTTTAGCCAGTGATTTATTTCCTTAAACAAAGTTATGCACATTACCCACATATTTAAATGTATGGACTACAGTCCTTGGGGGATTGTGTGAATTTTCAGGGAGGGGTTAATTCTAGACTGTACCATGCTACTTCTGAGTCCCTGCACAGAAGGTGACACAGCCCATGCTCACTCCTATGTGTATGAGTCTCCAGTGGGCAAGATCAGAATTTATCATCTGCTAAAGTGCCATGAATACCTCCTAAATTCTCCCTCTAATGTTAATCCACTTTTTTCTTTAACAAAGGAAATTATAAAATGCATTTTTTAACAAATGTTTTCAAAACATACCTTGAAACTTCACCTAGGAGAAACAGAAGGGATGGTGTTTTCTATTTCTCCTAGAAACCTGCAGAGCGGATGTTTTGAGGTCTTTCTTGCCAGGTGGCTATCTCAGTATGCTGCTGGCAGGATCACTTGAACTTTGTAGGTGGATAGTTATCTAGCTCCCAAGCCAACAGTCCGGAGAATTCAACTGAAAGAGATTTGTATGTGAATATTTCCTAAATTAATCAGGTTCCCAAATTAAGAAAGACAAATGTATGCTAAAGGGATATGAGTAAATGTCCCTTCCCCCATGTTTGAGCTAACATGTTTAGGAGAACAACGTTCAGGTTTCAACATTTTCTGTTCACATATTTCAGTTTTATCAGAATAAGTAGTAAATGTTTGTCTGATCTGTGGTTTTGCTTGAGTGACTTGTTGAGTTCCTTAACTGAGTAGAGAAAATCTGTTTTATATTCTAGAATGAATTGATTTTAGGAATCTTTGAGGTAGTGCCTAAATCTGCTTATACTACACAAGGATCAGTGAATTATGAAGATTAAAATTAAGTAATTCTAAGTCTAGGGAAAGAGACATTTAGGAGGGGGAAACAAACGACAATTGCATTGTGACAATATCGGCAACAGAGGTCTACACAGACTGCCATAGAAGTGACCACAGAGCTATGCTTTGGTTGAAGCATTGTAAGAGAAATGCCAAGGAAATAATCCTTTCAAAATCTAGCTATGTAATAAATACAATGGGAGGGATGTGGGAAAGACCACTAATCCATGGGAACCCAGCTTCTCTTCCTTCCGGTTGTATGACCATGAGCAAGGTGGTCTCTGTGTTCACTTTCATAAAGAAGAAAGTTATAATGTTTACTCATCAGGAATACTGTGAGGATGAAATACAATAATACATGGGAAGTGTTTTAGAACAAATAGTTTTAAAGAAATGTTAACTTTCATTCTTTTGATAGCTAACAAACCAAAATATTGAAAAAAAATCATGTTCAAGTTTTAAATTGTTCTTCTAAAATGCTGATTTTTGTCACCTAAACTTTTACATTTTCCCTTCATAGCTCCAAGAGGAAAGCGAGGATGGAAAACCTTCTATGCTGTCCTGAAGGGAACAGTTCTTTACTTACAAAAGGTACAGTGGGGAAAACCAAAATTTACTGCTGTGAGGACACCGTGTTGAAAATGTGGGTGCACACATTTCTTTCTACACTGATAGTTTGGTGAAGTCCATGAGTGTGTCATTACTTTCCCTCAGCATATAACCCTGACTTTACTTGATGAGGACCCATGGCATTCAAAGCTTCATTTCTTCTAGTCTTACAACTAACTCCCAGATTACACGGTGATGTATGGAAATGGCTGTAAGAGAGTTAAAAAGACTACTAAAGGCAGAGAACTGACCCACACTCAAAGTCCCATGGTATTGTGGTGAGGTATTACTGACCCAGTATCTGCTGAAATTGTTGGAGGTAGTTCAAAGAATATCCAAGCACAGGTACAGGACTTTGCTGAGTTCAATCCCTGGAACAGGAGTTAGGAGCTTGTCACCTATAGATCCTATAATGCAGGCACTGCATAATAAAGCAATTCAGTAGATGATGGTGATGATGGGCTTCTATCTTTCCTTGGTCTGGTGTGTTTGATAGGTTCATGAGCCTAGGTTTTCTGATAGGATTTTGATGTGCATGTGTTCCTGATCTACTTCAGTAAATTTGTAGGTGGTAATTATTTTCTTTGCATGAACAAGGTATTAATCTGTGTCTTGTGGTTTGCGATGGGCAAGTGGTAGGTTTTAATCACACAAACGAAGTGTAGAGTCATTCTTCGCTAGCATTTTCACTCATTTAAAATACAGGTGGTAAACTCCTACTGTGTAATATGAAGTCTCTCAGACTAGCTTAACCTGAAAGTTCCTGTTCCATTTAGTATGGAGTATTTCAAAGCTTGTCAGCAACTTAGAACAGGAGATAGCCTGATCAGACCTGAATGAAACACTGAATAAACATGTGTCCTTTTATGCTAAGGTACACAAAAGAGTCACAACAACGGAGCTGGGACTGACATGTGAAACATTCACATTTCTAATTTAAATAAAAACATATTGAGGGAAAAATACAAGATAAAAAGAATAAAAAAATTAAAAAAAGAGTCACAACACCCAGAGGACTCTTAAATTGATGTTTAGAATCTCTCCCTCTCTCTCTGTCTCTCTCTCTCTCTGCCTCTCCCCTCCCCCCTCACCCCGTGTGTGTGTGTGTGTGTGTGTGTGTGTGTGTGTGTGTGTGTGTGTGTGTGTGTTGGTAAAAAACAGTTTTGTGGATACAGATATACATATGATCGGGGAAAAGGATAGGAAAGGAATAACCTCTGTTCTAATTGTTCCATAGGCAATATAGTAAGCTAGACCTTAGACAAAAGATCCATGGCAAGGCCTAATTCCATAGCTTTTTATTATATAGATTGAGTATCCATTTAGTATATTATTTTACTATCTTACTTTCAATCATACATGTATATGCACATATGATAGTATGTCCTGAAAAGTTTTCACTTAAGAGTTAAGATATATTCCAAGTTTCTGGGGTACATTTTCCTTTCCTCCAGTTCCAGGCCTACAGATCTGTTTATAATTCAGTTTATGGTTCCTATCTGCATGGAGGTTAGTCTCAGAGCTTCTAGCTCCTATGTGTGGATGGGGATAGGAAGGTTAAGTAATATCTATATAATTAACTGGAAACGCTTCACCACTTACCAAAGGCCAGCAGAGAGTTTTACACATACTATACTGTAAAGAGGCAGGGATGAATTAGGACTGAGAAGAAGAAAGACACTAATATCAGTGTTATCTGAGAGGGACATGAAAAAAATCAATAACATGGTATATGCCCTTTGACATTTGAAAAACAATTATAAGCATTTCTACTTTTAATTATATATATACATATGTACATACATACATGTATATATATGCTTGTATATGCATTTGTGCATAGTTGTCCGTGGAGTCAAGAAGAGGGTGTCAAATGCCCTGGAACTAGAGTCATAGATAGTTGTGAACCACCTGATGTAGGTGTTGGGAACGGAACTTTTGACCTCTGGAAGAATATTCTTACTTCTGACACCCTCTTAAATGTTAGCACACACAAGACATTACTGAAAACATGGCAAGTTCAAGGGTTTTAGGAAAGTATGCCAAAAATTTATGAGTGTGTATGTATGTATAACATGTATGAATACATATATGTATGCATGTATATATTCTTTATTTTATATTTATAAAACATTAATGGTAGTGCTGTTGAGTACCTTCAAAATATTGTATATCCTTAGGAAAATCCTATTCAAGATTTTTGTTTCTTTAAATAGTATTTTGCTTGTACTTTCATTTCTGTTTTTGTTTGTTTTGCAAGTGAGTCATGTATGTCTCTTTGTTATTTGGAATATTAAGCACCCATTTTCTAAGGTGATGGTTATTCAATGTTTAGTAGTTTAGTGTTTTGTAGTCCAACTTCTTTGTGCTTGTGGTACCGTATCCAAAATCATCACCAAGATTTTCCTGTTTGTCTTTTTTCCCTGAGATTTGTGTAGTTTAGAGCCTTAAATATTTAGTATTTAATCATCTAGCTAATTTTGTGTTTTGCCCTGAGATGTGTATGGATGGACACATTTCCCGGGGCCATTCAGTTCTCCAGGGTGTTCTCACGGGCCCCTGTGAAAGATTTGGTCCTGCGTTTGTGGGACTTGTCTGGGTTTATTCTTCCACACACTACTCTGCCTTCAGACCATGGCATACTGGAGCTTTGTCACATCTTAAGTCAACATTGTCACTCCTTCCTCTTTCGTTCTCCTGTCTCTAGATTGTCTTGGGGATCTTTGAGAATATAAACTGTCAATAAGATATTGATTCTTCTGAATCTGTAGATTCCTTTGAATAATACGAGTATTTTAACCACATTAAATATTCAAGCCCTGAGCATGACCTGCCTTCCTATTTTTTTTCTTTTCAGCAATGCTTTACGGTTTCCAATATATGAATCTTCTGTTACGGTTGTTTTTGTGTTTACTGACACCTTTGTAAATGGGAATATAAATTCCTCTTCAAACTTTTTTCTGTTAGTGTATAGAAATGCAGCTGATTTTGTGTGTTCATGTATATTATGCAACATTGCTGATTTTATCACTTCTAATGGGTTTTTGGTGGGTTTTAGAGATTTTTTACATACATAAGCATATCAAGCTGTGCTTAGTTTCTAAATAATTTCATCATGATATTGATAAAGTATATTGGATATTATTAAGTATGTTTTAATGATTTGTTAAGTCATATAAATATAAATGTGAATCTCTATATGAGATTTTTATGATTTGGTTGATTTTCCTATGCTAAATTACGCTCTATCCTTACTGATAAATACTAATAGTTTGGGTCTTTATTATATTAATGTAGCATTGAATTCAACTTGCTATGTTTATGGGCAGGATTTTGCATCTATGTTCATCAGGAATATTGACTGGTAATTTTCTTTTCTCGTACGTGTGTGTGTGATGGTGTCTAAGATGAGTTTGGATATGTTCCTTCTTTGATGCTTTGGAAGTGTCTAAGAAGTGTTGGTACTAATATTGGTATCATTCAACTGTTTGGTGGGATTCACTGCTGGAGCCGTCTTGTACCAGGCTCTTATTTGTTGCAAAGTTTTGTGGGTTTTGTTTGTTTTGTTTTTTCCATTGTTGAGTTTATCGTCTTACTAGTTATAGATAAGTAAATATGGTCTGTTTATCCATGATTAAACCTGGATGATTATATGATTCTAGTGATTTGTCCATTTCTTTTAGATTGTCCGATATGTTGCTACATAATCGATCATAATACTTTCTTAGAAGCTTCTCAATTTCAGTGTCATTGAGGGCAGTTATTTCACCTCTGGTTTTATTTGAGTACTTTCTTACTTTACTATTTTAACTAAATATTGACCAATTTTGTTTGGGGGAAAATACTTCTTAGAGTCTACTATTCTTTTCCATTTATTTTCTATTCTCTACTCCATATCTTCATATTTAAGAAGTATGGATTAGCTTCTATCTCCCTCCTTTGATAGCTTGTTTGGGCATAAAATTAAGAAATTTAATGTTGCCTTCTTTTTTACTGTAGACGGCCATTGCCACAAACTCTTACTGGAGCTACTGTTGATGCATCCCCTAACTTTTGATTTCATAAGGTGTATCTATTTTTGTTTGTCTCAAGATAATTTTTGTCTTTTGATTTCTTCAACACGATGGTTCAAAGAGTATGGAAGAGTATGTCCAATTTCTGTATATTTTCTTATGCTATTTTTATAGCATTGTAGTTGTAAAGAGTAAAATTATTTTGGTTGTCTTAAGTCTATGAAGTTTGTAACATTAATGTGTGATCGATGGTGGAGAGAATGTTACATGTGCACACAGAAGAATGTTGTGTCTGATGTTCTAGACATGTCTAAACATTTCACCTATAGCATGCTTTTAGTGCTCCATTCCCTCCTCAGTTTCCTACCTGGCTTTCTTCTCTCTGTTATGGAAGTGGAACGTAGAAATCTATTGTTTGCTATTTTACCCTTCATTTCTGACAATGTTTGATCCACAAGTTTGGAAGGCATAGTGTTGGAGGGAGATAGAAGGGAGAGAGAGAGAGAGAGAGAGGGGGGTATCTTCCTAGTGAATTGACTTTATTATCATTACATCATGGTTCCACATTGACTCTCTTGGCATTCTTTATTTGAAGTTTATTTTGTCTGGTATAAGTGGAGTCACTTCTTTTCTGACTATTGTTTACATGGATTATCTTTTCTGTGATTTCGCTTTAAGGCTGTCTGCTTCTAGATTTAAAGGAAGTTCTTACTGATAGCATTTAGTTGATCCTTTTTGTTTGTTAAGTCCATTTAGCCATCCCCCCCTTTTTTTGATCGAGTAGCATAATCTGTTGATTATTGCTGTAATAGTACCACAGATGTTGTGAAAATACCCTTCATTTTTTAAGGATGCTTTTGCCCAATACAATTCTTATGTAGAGTATTTTGTGTTTTGTTTGTTTGTTTGGTTGTTTTTATGCTTTCAATATATAAGATCTCACAGCCTCTCTGAATTGTTTCTACTGAG